TGACAAACACATGCAAAGTAAGTTCTAATTACTGCCTTGCAAAGTCAAATATTTGTTGCAAGCAGAGGACTAATTGTGGGGGGAGGGAGCGGAAGTTGAGGCTCTTGGAGTGTAAGTGGAACAGATGCCTGGACGCCTTGGGGAAACGCAGCTTTCCTCTACAAATCAGAGCTTTAAATTACAAGGCTTTTACCAACGAGAACAGTTGTGGGAAGTCGTCTGCTCTCATTTGCGTAATGGCTTCTGTCACTGGTGATTAGACACAGGATGAAGGAAAAGAAATTTGACAATTAGGAATGAGCGATCATTAATCAGAATCTTTGTTAGAAGGAGGGAAGGGGGGGAGAATATCCCGCAAACAATGGAGGCAGCCACTAGAGCCACAGTGAAGTCCATGAGATGCGTAACTCTGAGTGCTGCTGTTGCTCTACAGAGCCCCCTCTGCCTAGGTACAGTGCAGCAGCAAGGGTCTTGGCTTGGTTGGAAAGCTTGTGGAGGAAGGCAGCCACGCAAAATCTTTCCTGTGCTGTTCAGCTGTTTCTGCTTAGTAAGGGAGAGAGCACATCTTGGAGCCCTCTCCTTGCCCCATTAACACCTTGTGCTTCCTTCTCTGTGCCTGGCTGCAAACTGCCAGCAAAAAACACAGAAACAACTTCTTAAATTTTTGCAGTGTCCTTTCCCCACACCTTGCATGCAGCCTTGCAGTTTCTGGTGTGGAGGAGAGCAGGCACGGACTTTGACTGGCAAGCAGAAAGATTAGGACGAACAATGTGAAAGCAGTTCCAGGGTCTTTTCCTGATAATGTCATTTCCTACAAGGACACAGAGGAACGTGATGGGCTGCATGACAGGTAAATAAAAGAAGGCAGTTGTGACTTCTCTGTGTGTTGTTGGCTGGCTTAGCTCACCATCCAGCCATGCACAATCCAGTATATGCATTTGTTTGGGTTTTGTGGGTTTTGATCAAATCATCAGTACACATGATATCTGTTACCTATTTTTCCTACAGCTGTCATTCAAAGTCTTGTCAGGTTAAACATTTTAGTATAGCTTACACTGCCTCAGATTAGATCAACAGTTATAACTTGGGAGGGGGGATGACAAACCATTTGTGGGGCACGCAAGGTTGGTTGGTGCATCTCAAGACTTAAGCTTACTGGATTCATCGATTTCAGTGACAGATCCTGTCTTTGCAAGGCTGGGTCGTTCACTTGAGGTGGAGGTCTCTGTTAGGGTCATTAT